CTGGGGTATTGGGTCCCTTGGGTCCCTGGGGGTTGGGGGGTTGGGGGCTCGCTGTAATACCTACAGCTAATTACTACACAGATCTGCCCGTGGCCACTCATCACCCACGACAACGCCAAAGAAATCTTGCATCTGCTGCTGATTATTATGGACGGGTATTGCCCTATTCCCCATCACGAACGTAGCTAACACAAGGAAATACAACGGATGGATGACACGTCCTCGTCCAAGCGGGCTTAGTTGTGTCCAATGGACTCGCTATGGTGAGTTGCTGCCGTACAGCGAGCTGTAAATCTACTGCGCAGTATCGAGCAGGTCTTCGACAGAGGTCTGCTTTCCGCCCGCCAGTGAAACTTCCCAAGGGGCCATTCCTACGACCGGGACCGTCGCCTTCTCACCCTCACCGTCGCCTTCTCGCCCGCGCCCTCGCCTTCTCGCCCGCGCCCTCGCCTTCTCGCCCGCGCCCTCGCCTTCTCACCCTCACCGCCGCCGTCTCGCCTTCACCGCCGCCTTCTTGTCCTCACTGTCGCCTTCTCATCCTCACCGTCTCGTCCTCAACCTAACCGTCGCCTTCACGCCGTTGCCCTCGCCTTCTCGCCCGCAGTCGGCACGTGCACATGCACGTGCTCATGTTGGTTGGCTTTCAGAGCAGGTAGGGGGTCAATCCATGACGCCGCTGTCAGAGCAGGTACCATGTACTTTGTTCGGTGTATAAGGTGTACGGATGCACTGCTACTGCTTTGCTTCTAATTCTTACTACTCTCTTACTGTTTCAGTCTTTCTTATGTTATCGTTTTCTTACTGTGTCCTGTTACAGTTTTGTTGTTACTTGCAACTTTACAGCTATTTTTGCTTGCTACTGCTTTGCCTGTCACTGTTTCATGCAGCTGGTGTTGATGGGGTGTTACGCTGTAGGCGGCTCGCCCAAGAAAGGACGAGCACCGGGGGCCCTGACCGAGCCGAAACACAGCGCAGGGACGGGCGTGCGGCTCTACGTCCGTCTGTTCCTCCGCGCGCGCCTCATTCCCTCACGCCAACCGGGACACTCTCCCAGCCCCTGGCTAGACATCACAGCGGCGCAGAAGACTGCGAACCGAACTAAGCGAGAGCCGCACGAGAGGCGCCACTTCGCCTGGCCTGCCTAGTCGAGCGCTCTCGTTCCTCTTGACCACCAAAACAAAAACAAAGAGAAAACACCACCGGGGGCAGGGGCTCTACTCAGGGGGCTCCACTACACACTCAAAAACCGAGGCAAGGGAAGACCTACCCACGTCAGGTACGGCCCCTCAGAAGACTCTCCTAAACAAGCGCAGCCCCACGCAGCCAGCAAGGAAAGAGATACACGGAGGACCACGGGCCTGAGACGACACACCACAAAAGCCGAGATACGGTTGCACAAAGAAGACAAAGAAGACAAACACAAAGGGAGAACTCGCTTGAAGGCCAGCTGTTCAACTACCACGAGCAACGAACAACGAACACTTCCCGAGGGCGGCCACCACTACCTCGCCGGTCCACTCACAAACGAGGCAAAACTGGTCCGCATGCCAGTCTCCTCCTGGGGTTTGCGGGCTCCCGGGTGCAGCGCAGCGCAAGACACAGCAAACAAAACACCTATTGCCGCGGGGGGGATGACAAGCCAGCACGGCGCCCCCCTACAAAGCCCG